TTCAGCTGCAACACAGCGATGGGCAATACTGAAGAACAGGGCAGACATCTCTCTGAAATCATGGTCAGATACAAGGTGGGAAAGCCATATCAAAGCTATAGAGGCTGTGCGTTATCAAAGTAAACAAGTAAGGGAGGCCCTGCTGGATATGAGGAACAAAGTCACAGACCCTGTGACAAGAATAGAGGCCCAGTCACCGGCAGATGAAGGTGGGTCTTACCATTTTTTTATATGCACCATGGTATGGTATGATATTCTGCAACAAATACAACACGTGAGGAAACTCTTCCAGTCTATACTACCATGCAGCTTGATGTGGCTATGAGCTTACTCAAGAAGATTAAAGCCTCCCTGGTGAGCTACCTTGTGAATGGATTTGTCTCAGCACAAGCATCAGCTGAGGACATGTGCGAGGAAATGAATGTGGAGGCTGTGTTAAAGGAAAAGAGACTTCGAATGACGAAGAGACACTTTGGATATGAAGCTCCAGATGAACCAATTTCCGATACTTTGAGAAGATTAGAATGGTCTTTTTTCAATACGGTGGTAGACTCAGCCATCACATAACCCAATGAAAGGTTCCAGAGCCTGGGAGAAGTTAGAGACAAATTTGGAGTTTTTCTTCACTTCACCTTGAGCTATGGTGGAGAGTCAGATATTAATGGAAAAGAACTGGCCTTTGAGATGAGAAATCTACCAGGCTTACCCTCTGATAATATGACAGCATTGGAAATTCTTAAATATATACATGAAAAGCAGATTAAAGAGCTTCATCCAAACATGTGGACAGCCCCGAGGATAGCAGTCACTCTGCAGAGAGGAGCTTCTCATAGCTTAAGCTCATCAAAACACACCTAAGGTCTACAATGGACAAGGATAGGCTTACTGGGCTTGCAGTCATTAGCATATATAATGCTCCTGGGAAACAAGTGTCATATGATCACATTATGGACGATTTTGCTTCAAAGAAAGCCAGGAAGCAAAAAATCTAGATCCTAGATTTGAGAAATATTAATGAATCCCCATCCTAAGCTCATAAACCCTTGTTAGAATTCTGCCATGGGAAAGCCACCGAACTTCTGTATGATACAACAAGTGTGAATGATCAGCTCCCATATTTAAGCACAGCAATTCAAATAGCTGACTGTTCAGTGAACCTCCTTTGATCATATTATCAACTTTCACCACATCTTTCAGAACATCCTTGAGATTATTAGGGATACCTTTATCAGTCAGTGCTTCACGGTAAATGAAACAATGATTCCAAGTCATGTCATTACCTGCTGCCTTTGATATTTTATTCACAACCCCACTGTTTTTACAAGTTATATTAGCTGCACCATCAGTTGTAATACCTTTGCAATTAGCCCAATCCAGTTTGTATTTTCCAACTACACATTCATTTAACACTCTGTATATCTCTGACCCCAAAGTATGTGTAGGTAAGGTCAAACAGAGTAAATCTTCCAAAAAGTCATCTTTCCATGCATATTTCACATAAACCAACAATGTTGTAGATTTGGGTATGTCAGTACTTTCATCAAGTTGGATAGGAAATTGTCTGGTGGACGTGAAACCAGCTGGGATTCTAAATCCTCTGCAATAGCACTTATCTGCCGAGACACTGTTGTATCACCGAGAGAGACACGTGATTTTATCTGCAGATTTATCATCAAGAACTGTGCTCACTATATCCAGAGTGGATGAGAGAAGAAACTTCTCAGCATACTGCATAAGGCACTTTTTGTTTTGCAATATGATAAGCAACTAAATATGCCAGTTGTACTTTATCCTTAAAAGTGGTTGCTTTACTAAGAATTTTTAATGACAACTTCATTTCCTCCTTTCTTCTCTGGAAGTACTCCTCAAGTGGTTTGCCAATGGGTTCAGTGTTTTGTCTCGAGTTGTCTTTTTAATTTGGATGGTTTCAAACTTTCATTTGTAAGAACTTCATTGCAAATCACACTGAGACTTTACCCCCACCCGAGAGGTGGCACCAGCTCATCCTATCAGCCGGGAGGAGAAGAGTGCCTTGTAAACAATGACATTTCTAACCACACCCTGCAAAATACAGTGCACTTAGCAAATGCTGCAGCTGCAGCTTCTGAGAATGGGGTTGGGGGGTTACTACTAACAGCAGAGACGTTACCGAGAACAAATTCTGGCTTGAATGTCATGTACACTAACACTGACACGTTCCTTGATAAGAGAGAGGAGTTTGAAACACAACTGAAGGTACACCAACCAGATATTATAAGAGTTGTAGAACTGTTGTACAAGAATAGGAGAATCGACCCAGAGGAATGTGAGTTCAGTACTGCTGGATATGACTCATTTATGAACCTTTCTCAAGAAACTTGCAAGAGGGGTGTGGTTATCTATGCTAGGTAAGACCTTAGAGCCAGCCAGGTGAGGGTACAGGGAGAGGATGTTAAATGAAGAGTCCAAGTGGTGTAAAATTAAACTAAAGGGAGGGGACTTATTGTCGAGTGTATCTACAGATCTCCAAACAGTGGCCCACTAAATCAAAGGAACTTAAGAGCCTTAATAGACAACGAGGCGATGCACAACCCTAGCCACCTCCTTATCATGGGGGACTTTAACTATGGCGACATCGACTGGAGAAACGAGTCCACCCCAAATGACTTGAAAAACCCTGCCACTCTTTTTGTAGAAACTCTGAGAGATAATTTTCTGTTCCAACATGTTAGAGACCCGACACATTACAGAGGGGAGCAAACACCCAGGCCACTAGACCTCATCATAACAAACGAGAAGGGTATGGTGGCCAAACTGGAACACCTTGCCCCAGTTGGTACCAGTCACCATATAGTGTTGTCATTCAGATTTAACTGTTACCTAGTTCAAGATAAGGCCAGGTCAAGGTGCAAATATTACAAGGGAAATTACAACGGGATGAGAAGAGAGATGAAGGGTATCCACTGGCCTGACTCATTAAGGCACAAGAATGCAGACACTACGCTAAATAAAATAGTAAAGTGACCCATTTGATCAATAAATATATACCCAAGACCAAACCCAGTGCCTCTAGGAATACGAGGGGATCTCTACACATAAACCATGCGGCGGTCGACAAAGTTAAGAAGAAAACCCAGAAATTCAAGACGTGGGTTGGGTCAAACGATGAGTAGGACAGGAGGATGTATGCAAGAGCCAGAAATCAAGCAAAGATAGAATGTAGAAGTGCTGAAATGGAGTTCCAGGGGCTGGTTGCAAGCGAGGTCAAGTCAAACCCAAATGCGTTTTACCGCTATGCAAAGTCAAAATTAAAAATGCGAGTAGGAATATCAGACCTGAGGCTTGAAGATGGTAGTTACGCAGATTCTGAGCAGGATAATGCCAGCTTCTTTTCCTCGGTGTTCACAAGAGAGGATGCGATTAACCTTCCTGCGTTTGAGGACAGACGGTTCGACACAGCACTGACCCACATTGTGTTCACAGAAGAGGGTATTAGAAATGAACTGTCAAAGCTAAAGGTCCATAAGAGTCCCAACCCTGACATGGTACATGTGCATCCTAGAGTGCTAAGAGAGTTGTGCAATGAGCTTGCAGAGCTCCTGAAGATCCTGTTTTGCAAATGTCTGGATGAACAAAATGTCCCCAGTGAATGGAAAGTGACTTATGTGAGTCTTATCTTCAAGAAGGGAGATCGTCACTACTACTAAACAACCTTGTAAAGGATTGCCAACACGGTCTTATGCCGGGGCACTCCTGCTTAACACAATTGCTCAAGGTATTGAATATTTGGACCCATATTCTGGAATGGGGTGGTAATATCGACAATATTTACCTAGATTTTGCCAAGGCTTTCTACAGTGTACCCCACGAAAGTTGGAAAATCAAACTGGAAGGGTACGGAATTCGGGGAAATGCCCAAGCATGGATAGAAGACTTTCTACATGACCACAAGCAGTGTGTGGTGATTAATGGCATGAAATCATCATCCGTACCTGTCACAAGTGGGGTACCGCAGGGCAGTGTATTGGGCCCGCTGTTGTTTGTTTGTTTCATAAATGACATGCCTGACGTTGTACACTCCTCCATACAAATGTTTGCCGATGACGCCAAGTTATTTTAGGAAATCAAGAACCAAGAGGACTGTGAAGAGCTGCAGAAGGACCTCTGTGGGCTCCAAGAATGGTCGAAGAAATGGCTGCTGAGATTCAATGTCACAAAGTGTAAGAGGATGCACCTGGGGCGTACCAACGGTAAGGAGGCGTATCCTATGTCCCAACGGGATGAAGAAACAGCACTATTTGAGATTGAATGTGAGAAGGACCTAGGTATGTATGTTGACAATGAGCTGAAGCTCTCGGGCCATTGCAAGAAGGAGGTAAATCAGGCAAATAAATTATTGGGTCTTATAAGAAGGTCGTTCAGATATCAAGACGGTCCATCCCTCGTAACGATCTTCAAGAGTGAAGTGCTTCCCCATCTGGAGTACTGTCACCCTGTCTGGTCCCCGACATATGCTAGGGACTGTCAGTTGGTTGAAAATGTTCAAAGGAGGGCCACCAGACTGGCGCCTGCGCTTTGGCACCTCAGCCACCCTGAGAGATTGGAGTGCCTGAACTTGCCTAGCTTATACTACAGACGGGCAAGGGGTGACCTAATTGAAGTGTATAAGCATCTCAAGGGGCACTACTCAGTCGAGTGCCCTTACTTGGAGCTGGCGGATGCTCGCCCCACAAGGGATCACAGCTCAACATTGAAGAAGCCACAAGTCCAGAATACTGTGAGGGCAAACTTTTTCGGAGTGAGAGTTGTGAACTCTTGGAACAATCTACCAGAAAGTGTTGTGACGGGACAGAGTGTGAGCTCTTTCAAGATAAGAGTTTACCAACACTGGAGCAGGTTCAGGTACATTCAGGAGCCGGTGCATGCCCAGTACTTGCCAACAGTGCGTGGCGGAGACGTGACCGATAGCCCAAGCGGCTAACGAACCAATCAGTGGTGAAGAGGATAAAAGAAAAGTAAAAAAAAATTATTACCTGTACTTGATAACTCATGATTTCATGTGTTTTTATTTTATACAATACCCCTATGTGGTAATGAAAGTTTTATTTTTCAAACTACACTATACTTTATAGTTTACAGTATTTATCTTTCTATCATTTTATGAATTACAGTGATATAATCACAGGCCTTACTTTGTAAAGAAACTTATTTTTATATGAACTTAAATTGCCATAAGAACTAAAACACAATCATTCTGGAAAAAAGTTATCTTTGACACACAGAGATCAGGGTTTCTACTTTTTACTCAACAATAATTTTCACGCTATTTGACAGTTAATTCCATCTTGGGTCCTCGGGTACATCTGGTACGTCCCAGTCCCAATCCTTATCCTGAGGATTAACTGTAGTGTTTACATTGTCACTATAATCAATGACAGGTTCACTCCAACCCATGCATTCAGCACCAGCAAGCCATCCTTCTTGGTACCTGTCATCATCTTGTACACAGTCTTCACCAGATTCATCTGAAGAAGTATAGGTACTATCATGACAAAGCTGTACCTTGCCTTGCCAGTCTTCACCACTACCAATAGTCTCAAAACAGTCATCTGCCACTGTATTTCTGAAAAACACAGTTAAGAAAATAAAGGACAATACTGTATATAACATAATACAGTGATCCCTCGGTTAACGAAATTTCGGTTAACGAATTACCTTCCATAAGATTCTTCACTTCGGTTTACGAGCAAACCCTCGGCTAACGAATTCCTTACGAATTTTTCCCAACATGTTTTCGCCTGCATTTGGCTGCCCACCAGCTGTAGTATTAGTCCGCCAATACAGTACAGTTGAACCTCGATTTACGCGGTTCTCGTTTACGCGTTTGGTCATTTACGCAGTACCTTGCCAGAACCGGGATGCCCGATTTACGCGGTGAATTTACTCATTTACGCAGGTGAAGTATAATTTGTTTATTTACTGAAGATATATATGTTTTCAGCTCAAAAAACATATAATTTACATTGCTGGAATCCTTACAATATGGTGATCATTTTAAATATAAACATCTTAACATTTGCATTAGACATAAAATTTTTAGATGTACTGTAATTTAAGGAGATCATGAAAATAAGCAAATATTTTATCTTTTGTGCAAAATGTATGAAGTTTACATTCAAAATATTCCCTGACCTGCAAGGAACCCAGAAATGTAAATTATATTATCCTAACTTTAGTCTGAGGTATTATTTATTACTAAAAATGTAAATATACTGTTTTCTCCCAAACATTTCTCTGGTAGGGAGGGAAGGTGGGAGGGAGGGACCCAGCGAGCGTGGGAAGAGGGGTGGAGCAGAGGTGGGATATTTTGATTGACAGATAGCGTCTGGGTCAAGTATAATTTGTTTATTTACTGAAGATATTTGTTTTAGCTCATAAAATTCATACAAATTACCCGGCCAGAATATAATTTACATTGCTGGAATTCTTATAAGATTTTGATTATTTTAAATATAAACATCATGGAATTTGCATTAGACATACAAATTTTAGATCTAATTTATCAATTTTGATTACAAAGCCAAAATTTTATCTTTTGTGCAAATTATATGACGTTTATATTCAAAATATTCCTGGCCTTGCAAGGAATCCAGCAATGTCAATTATATTATCCTATCTTTAGTCTGAGGTATTATTTATTACTATACCATAAAATCTAGTGTTTTCGCCCAAACATTTCTCAGAGAGGTAGGAGCCAGCAAGCGTGGGAAGGGGGGAGTTAAGTCCATTATTTGAATGGACATTAACCTGGCGACTGTATTTCTCTTAAATATTAATTGTGTGTGCATACCATCATAAAATGAAGTTTTTATTTTTACTACAACAGGTATTATGTCGTATTGTTTCGGAAAAAGTGGAGTTTGGGAATCGGCCCAGTCTCTATTTCAATTAATCCCATATGTTCTGTTATTCCATTTGCGAGTTTGTTGTTTTACGCGCTACTCCGCGGGTTCAATTGACCGCGTAAATCGGGGTATTACTGTAATCGGTTTTAGGGCTTAAATTCCTTTCCATTTTAGTAAATATCAAGAAGGTGTACTATTCAATAATTTTAAAAGTTTTATACTAAATTTTTTAGTCATTTTAACAATTATTGAACATAATTGAAGTACAGGAGGCTATTTTTTTGCACGCCAAACAGCCACTCAACACACCAAGCTTGGCTTCAGTATCTTTACCAGTTCAGAGGAAGGAACATCTTGTTTGAGACTCTTCAACATAAATGCTTTTTTTCTGTGTTTCCAGTCAAATTATTGGTCATTTTGAAATATATTTTACATATTGACAATACATAATGCAGTGCAGTGTTGATTTAAAGAAAATAATCTTGAATTACACCAAGTGAACTAAAATTTTATGGATGAAATGGGGGCATAGGGTGACTTCTCTTCCACCCCAATGCCTTCTCTTCTCCCTTCTCCTCCACCCCCATTCTAATTCCCATCATCATCATCATCATCATCATCAACAACCAAGAGCCTTCTACATGCACACCTCAAAGTAAGTGTACTTTACTGTACAGTAATACCCCTATTTACGCGGTCAATTGAACTCACAGAGGTCCTTGTAAAACGAGAAACGCGTAAATGGAATAACAGAACATATGGGATTAATTGAAATAGAGACTTGGCCGACTCCCAAACTCCACTTTTTCCGACACAATACCTATATTCTAGTAGAAATAACATCTTAATTTTTTGATGGTACGCACACACAATAAATATTTAAGAGAAACACAGTCGCCAGGTTAATGTCCATTCAAATAATGGATTCAACTCCACCCCCCACCTCTTCCCACGCTCGCTGGCTCCTCCCTCTCTGAGAAATGTTTGGGTGAAAACACTAGATTTTAAGGTATAGTAATAAATAATACCTCAAACTAAAGATAGGATAATATAATTGACATTGCTGGATTCCTTGCAAGACCAGGAATATTTTGAATATACAAGTCATATATTTCGCACAAAAGATAACATAGTTGCTCTGAGTAAACAAAATTCTTACTTAGATCTAAAATTTGTATGTCTAATGCAAAATCTATGATGTTTATATTCAAAATGATCATCAAATTGTAAGAATTCCAGCAATGTAAATTATATTCTGGCCGGGAAATTTGTATGAATTTTATGAGCTAAATAAAAAATTATACTTCACCCGCGTATATGAGTAGATGCACCGCGTAAAGTGGGAATTCCGGTTCTGGCAGGGTACCGCATAAATGTAGAAACGCGTAAAGCGGGGTATTACTGTATTTATTTTTAGTTTGTATGTAATTTTCGGTGAGCTGGAACCAATTACCCAAAAACCCATTGAAACAATGGTTTCGGTTAACAAATTTTTTGGTTAATGAGCAACCTTCTGGAACGAATTGTGCTCGTTAACTGAGGGACCGCTGTATAATTAGAGGACCAGGGCACAAAATAATTTTTTTATCATCTGGGCTTTACTTGAATGATCCTGTATTCTATAAGCCACAAACTTGCTTATCGAAGCAGTTAAATAACTGTGCATAAACTGACACTGTTGTTTATTTACTATAGATTACTCTGATGATGGTTATTGTGATACATTAATCAAAATGATAATTACTAAGAAAGAAGTTTAAGAGTCAAGATTAGTCACAGTTCATTGCCTCCAAGGAAAAAAATAATTATATACAGGCAGTCCTCAGATTACATACAAGTTACATTCCTATGGATGTTCTTATGTCGAAAATGTACTTAAATTAAACCACATACCCTATGTGCATATCATACTTACAGAACAAGGTTTAAAATCCCACCTTATCATAGCTTAAGTCTTTATGTACATTTAAATCACCGGGTAAATAAATTAGAGGCATCCCCGGGTTATGGAAGGGTTTCAATCCAGAAAATCTTTCCATAATGCAAAACCATTTCCCCATTGACTTCCATTATAAAAGTTGAAATGCATTCCTATAGAAATTTTGAGGCCCAAAAATGTGACACAAGCACATATATGGTATGCATGAAATCAGATGGTTTTACCCACATACAAGACATTTCTTACAGCATTTTCTCAATTTAACAAACTATTTCGAGCCACCCCTGTTCGTTAAATAAAAATTTAAGCTAAATCGAGCTTTCCGTTATATTCGCTCGATTTACTGAACTATTTCACTAAATCGAGCGTGATTCCATTAAATTCCGCGCCGCTTGGCACGGGTTGTTTACATCCGCTCAGTCTGTGTCCTGCTGCCACAGCGTGTGTTGTTCACTGCTACCTCTCGGTCAACTAAGTACACTGGAGCACCTTAGCTTTTGTCTTTATTCAAGACATATTCAGAGGCAACTGAATTTACAAGTTCTGAGAGTGACTTATTTACAATGGGTGACCTTACATAACATCAGGTCAGGTCAATAACATGGGATCCACTAATCCACACACCACCTCTACCACAAACAAAAGAGCTTATAAAAATATGGGTGACAAAGCAACAGGTCTGCCCTCTGCCTCGGAGCCAGCCACCATCCACGTACAGTATGCCAACCCATCTCTTCTACTAACGTAAGTGTTAAACCTTGATTTTTCTTTTACCTGGTACAGTATATTATTCTCTTATTGATATTTATCTTCTATATTATGTGTGTGTGTGCATACCATCATAAAATTAAGATACTGCTATTTTTACTACAAGGTACGTATTGTGTCACAAAAAGTGGAGTTTGGGGGTCGGCCCAGTCTCTATTTCAATTAATCCCATATGTTCTGTTATTTCATTTACGCATTTCTCGTTTTACGTGGGCCTCCACGGGTTCAATTGACTGCGTAAATGCAGACCCAACTGTACTAGTTAAGGGGAGAGCACCTAACTTAAGTGTTCCCATACAAATGTACCTAAAACACTTTCCCTGGAGGGAATTCATAATACATTCTCTCCCAAACCAAATACTGTGTATATAGACACTTCAACAATAAAGAAAGTACAGAAGAAGTGTTTACATCAGCCCTGCCACATTAAGAGTTCCATTTATTTTACAGTATTATATATTCTCGTATGATTAGCCACTTATGGTGTATGTTTTATCACTGATAATATAAAATATTAAATATTGTGTTATAACATGTAGAGAAACATGACAAAATATTGCATCATACTCCCAGGTCCTGTGATGAAGGTTTGGAGAGGGAGTTGGGGGGGAGACTGACAGCACACCCCCAAAAAGGTTCATGCCTCTCCCCTACTCCTCCTCATGCCTGCCAGTCCTTTTGTAAAATGTTTTACTTTGTCTTGTTTTTTTCTTAATTAGTATATGTTAACTGTAATAATTTGTGCTTAATGTGTTCAATATTTTATGTTAACCATGATAAAACAAACACCATAAGAGGCTGATCATTGGTGAAAAGGGGATTGCCAGTCCCTGCCTGCACCTTGCCTCCCACCAACTCACAGTGTCTCACACAAAAGACTGTAAACTAGATGTTGTGTGTGTAAGATGTGGTGTTGGGGTATTAATTAATGAATAATAAATAAACAATATTGTACAGTATTGTTATGACAGTACAGTAATTTGATGAATAGTAGTGACAATTGTAGTACAC